GTATTGCAATTAAGAGCTATGTAAGCATTAATATTTTACATTGGCCACTTAAAATCTTTTATGATTTAGCTCTCTCATGATTATAACTACAAAACTAACCCTATGAAAAAGTGTAAGATAATAATCAGTCCCCTTGACTGATGAAGTTAATACGCATGCGCAGGCAAACGCTCAAGCGCCTATTCTTGCATAATTGACACCCTCTCATTAGCATGTTGCGCAGAGGGGAAAAAAATGTGGAACTACATTCAGAAATAAACGAGTGATCAAAGGAAAATAGTTAGGATGAGTTTAGCATTTCCTTAAACAGTTTCCATTTGCCCACCAATTTATTTTATTTATTTGCCTACTTTCATCACATGTTTAATTATTTATTTATGTTTTTAAACAAGAATACGTGTATTTATGCACACATTTATTTACTTATTTGTGTATTTATTTATTTATTGTTTTTGCAGGTTTCGTCCTCCATATCTATAAAGAGAGCTACAAGTACAGAAATGACAGCGCGTGACGTTACGTACAGCGATGGTGTTGGACCAGTGTTTGACGAGCTCTTTAGAGCGCATGCGCAGCGCCTCCCGCTGGTCGGCCGCTGCAATCACACTGCTGTTGCGTTGATTCACCGCGTTCATACTGTCCTGCAGGCGCTGCCATTCCGATTTGGATAAAATTACTACTTGACGAAGATCTGCTTCGGTTTTCTCCACCTCCGAACTCACAGCTGTGTGCATTCGACAGCATATTTCCAAGTGATTATAAACTGTAATTATTATAATTGTACATATTATCTTTAGCTATCTTGGTGCACTAGTTAGTAAGCTCGGTCAGTAACGTTATGGTTCATTCTCACCTTGTTTACTCGAGCCTTTCCTCCGCCCGTACTGAACGACGCCTGTTCTTATTGACGCTGTTGACATTTTACCTGCTTTTTTATTTCCCCTCACATTCGTTGATCTTGACGTACATTGAGATGTTTATATTTTTTTTATTCCTTCATACGTCGGAAAACTGGGCTAACGTTGGTAACATGTTCTGTTCGGACTCTCTACACTGTGTTGCTCGGCAACCATTTCAATTTGTGTTACACTGTTCCCCGGCAACCCTGCTAGTGACGTCATGCGAAGCCTTAAAGAGCCAGCCACCTAGAAAATAAACCACCCCTCCTGCAGTTTCACATTGGAACAGCCTTTTTGATCATTTAAATTAAATATATATATATATATGGTCCATGCAGCAAAAGTTTTCCCTTACAAATAAAATAAATGAAATATTTTTTAAATTACTCCATGATATTTACCCTGTCAAAAAAAATGTGGATCTCCTTTTGTCAGAATGGCACTGCAACTCTTCTTCATTTGTTTGGTCATGCAGTTATATTTCTCAGCTCTGGAAAGATGTTAGTTTGTTTATCTCGAATAGCCTACTATCTTACAAGATTTTTCAATGAATCCCAAATTTTTGAAGTGGATCCCAATGCCTGTTTTGTAATAAACCTAATTCTCTTCTTATGTAGATTCTATATTCACAAATTTTCGTTTGTTGTAATTGTACAAAAATTGTAAACCTATTTTTGTAGTATTTTACAAGAGAATTCAAAAGCACTCAAAACATGTACAATTTGCACAGCCTACAAATTTTCTACTGTATTTATTGTTTAATTTTTATCATTCTGTATAATGCCATCTTCTTTCTTTTTCATTTAGACTATTATTTATTATGTTTCTATTTTGAGCTATGGTATCGGTGAACTAGTTTCGTCATATTCTAAATGCTTTGGGTATTTAAAATAATAATAAAAAAAACATCTTTAAGGATGTTAATCTACTTTTTTTGTATGCAAAATTCTGTATTCACAAGCAAAAAAATTATTTGTCTCCTTTGTGTCTTCCCATTTTCTGTAGAATGTAACTCTTTAATTTCACCCCTCAAACTTATAAACAACAAAAAAGCAAATTTTTTTATGCTTTGTGAGGACTTATTTAAAGACATAAACCTTAATAATGTTTAATATTCAAAAATCTAGAAAATAAACTGAGCTGATTTAGCAGGTGATTCTGAACTTCTTAACTTTATATATAATTAAATTTTATAAACTAAAAATGATCATAATACCATATATTATTTGATGTTCTTTTCTAAATAACACATAGTTATGAACACTGATGCTCACAAAACTGACTAGTACGACATTCACCAACAAATGTTCTTCAAAAGAACTTATATCACAATATATGTGAACAAGGTAAAAAGTCATGGAACAGGATAAGAACAAAGACAGATTTACATTTCTTTAGGTAGAAAGGTTTGTGTCCCTGGCCAACCAACTCTCTCTGTTTCCGCTTGAACTGAAGTTCCTTTTCTCTTTCCTGCTCTTGCCTCTGTCGGGCCCTCTGCTGGTTTTCCTGTTGTACACACACACACACACACACACACACACACACACACACACACACACACACACACACACACACATTAATTAATATATATGCATATTATTATATGCATAATATATATGCATAATAATATATGCATATTATTGTTCCTTATTAGAGTTTGTAAATTGAGGCTGTTCAATAAATTAAATAAATAAATAAAAATAAATAAATAAAAAAGGAGGAACGTTTAGGGAGATGCGTGAAGGGCGGAGTTTATGCGAGGAGATTTTTATTGAAAGAGCGCCACGGAACATCAGTCAGTCATTTGAGGAGAGTCGAATCACTGAATCATCAGGAAGGAATGGCTCCGGTATCAGTCAAACGCGTTTTGATCAGTGAAAGTGTCGATCCATGCTGCAAAACTATTCTGCAGGAGAACGGCATTGAAGTGACGGAGAAGCAGCAGATGACTAAAGAAGAGTTGATTGCAGAGATTCAGGTAAGTGATTCTTCAACCGATTGACTCAAATTCAGCAGCAACTTCACCGGAATATCACGTACCTTGATTTGAATCGCCGCCAGCGAAAGAATGGCGTTCTCCAAAGCAGCAAAATCAACTCGGCGTGCGTGATAAAATATATTAGCATGTGAATGTGTGCTAGATGGATGTGCTGAAGTTTGTGTGTGTGACTGTCACCCCTCCTCCTCCTCTTCACAATCTGATGCAACAGCAGCATGTATCTGCACCATATGAATCGTTTCAATTGATTCCATAACGAATGCTTTTATTAGACAGCAAGTAAACCATCAATTTATATATTCGAAGTATGTCCCCCCCCCCAGTGCATTGTGCTTAATGCACACGTGTTTTGCTCTGTGCATGTGTTTTTAGTTTGTGAATTGGTTTGGTTTTAATGTATTAGGTATTTGCATGGTTATGATGTAAATAAAATGCATATTTATATATTCTTTCTTTGTGCATTAGTAAAAAGCAGTACTGAATGCATGTTGACTTGTCTTGTATTGTCATGTCACATGTTGTCCTACCTAGAAAGGTTTGGGAAAAACTGAATAAACTCTGTTTTACATGCTAATTCTGTTTACATATCTTTCCCCCAAGAATTATGATGGTTTAGTCGTCCGATCAGCAACCAAAGTTACCTCTGATGTCATCAATGCTGGCAGTAACTTGAAGATCATTGGACGCGCCGGAACAGGAGTTGACAACGTGGATGTGGATGCAGCAACCAAGAGAGGCATTATTGTCATGAAGTAATGAAGCGTGTCGAGTCTTGCTCTGACCTCTATTCTGTTTGTTTTCAGTGCTAAAGCAGGTTGATCTAGTTGTGCACTTTTCTTTCTTCTTTTCTTAAAGTAATAGTTCACTCGAGAATGAAATTATCATCATTTTTTGCCTCTCATGTCATGTTTTCTTATGAAACGCATCTTAGGAGATGTTAAAGGAACAGTTCACCCAAAAGTGAATATTTGCTGGAAATTAACTCACCCTCAGGCCATTTAAGATGTAGATGAGTTTGTTTCTTCCTCAGAACAGATTTGGAGAAATTTATCAGTACATCACTTGCTCACCAATGGATGCTCTGGGTGCCGTCAGAATGAGAGTCCAAACTGCTGATAAAAACATCACAATAATCCACACTGCTCCAGTCCATCAATTAACATTGTGTGAAGTGAAAAGCTGCATGTTTGTAAGAAACAAATTCATCATTAAAGGAATAGGTCATGAAAAATTGGTCAACATTTACTCACCCTCAAGTTATTCCAAACCTGTAACCAAACAGTTGCTGGTCCCCACTGATTTCCATAATGTGGAAAAAAAGTGCTATGGAAGTCAATGGGGACCAGATGTTAATTGATGGACTGGAGTGGAGTGGATTACTTGTGGATTATTGTGATGTTTTTATCAGCTGTTTGGACTCTCATTCTGACGGCACCCATTCACTGCAGAGGATCCATTGCTGAGCAAGTGATGTACTGATAAATTTCTCCAAATCTGTTCCCATGAAAAAACAAACTAATCTACATCTTGGATGGCCTGAGGGTGAGGACATTTTCAGCAAATTTAAATTTTTGGATGAACTATTACTTCAAGTAGAATGGCCAGGATTTTTTCCCTAAATGTTTTATTTGTTTGTTTATTCATTTTTTTCATAATTTAATTTTTTAGCACTCCGAGTGGAAACACAATCAGTGCTGCTGAGCTCACCTGTGCTCTATTGATGAGCTTGTCAAGGTAAACTGGCAAAATGAATGTTTAATAAAGTATTGTTTTAAGGGTTTTGAGATGAATAATTTATTGTGTTATGAAATATGTTTTAACTTTCAGAACTTAAAAGTCTCTGATGTATGACTCTGGGTCATACATCTAGGGTAGAATTATATATATATAAAAAAATAAAAAATAAAATATTTTAAATAATTTGTAT